TATATACCAAAGATTATTAGTGGCTACCAGGGTGGGAAGGAGAGGAAAAGGGGAAGTTTTTGTTTGTAGGGCATTGCATTTATGCTAAGGGTGGTAGAAGATTTTGGAAAAGGATAGAAGGATAGCAATGATGGTGGCACAACATGAGAAATGTCATCACTGTCCCTAAGCTGTAAATGGGGAAGTTGTTATGTTGGCGAATGTTTTGTTGGGTATGTTTTCACCACAATAAAGGTAAAAAAAAGAAATCACTGGTTGCCAGAGATTTGGGGTGAGGGAGGGATGAATGAATAGGTAGAGAACAGGGGATTATTAGGGCAATGAAACTATTTGATAGTTGTGTACACATACACGACACTATGCACTGTCAAAACTTATAGCCCTGTACATCATAAAGAGCGAACTCTAGAGCAAACTATGAACTTTAGTTAATAACAATAACAAGGTATCAATATTACTTCATCAATTGAACAGAAGTACCACACTGATGGAAAATATTATTAACAGAGGAAACTATAGAGCAATGGTCAAGGGATATATGAGAATTCTCTATACGTTCTGTTTAATTTTTCTGTAAACCTAAAACTAATCTGTTAAATTTTTCACATGCAAAAAAAAAAAAAAAAAAAGAGAGAGAGAGAGGCGGTTGTAGCGATCAGACATACATTGTGCTAATCCCAGAGCTCCATAGACTCCGACTCTCATGTCCCTCTGAGAAGGTGGATAGTCAGTGCTGTTGAAGGTTTTAGAATCATTGGTCCAAGCACTGAGCCAGAGGTTGGATCCAATAAAAGCCACAGAATTCATCACAAAGGAAAAGATGATGAAGAATATCGAGCACCATCCAACGGCTTGTAGGTATTTCAGGTAGATGGAGAACTTCACCTGCAAAGCCCCACCTCAATATTAGAATTCCTGTAGACTTATGGTGAGCAATTACTTAGAACAACAGTCACAAAGTCCCCGGGAAAAGTGGGCATCAGGGGGTAAAAGTGGTAGTCTGTAGCCACCAGCTCTTCATTGGACCAGGATAGTAGATCAGTGTCGAAATACAGTGCAGTGCAAGTAGCCATCAGATTATTAGTGAGCTTCTAAAGACAATTAAGAGGGAATTTGTGTTTTTTATTTTATGAATTGGAATTATATCCTCTGAGACTGGTATATTAGTGTTTCCTGGCTCCTAGAATTGCAACTCAAAGCATATTTATTGTTCTGTAATCAGAAAGAAATCAAACACTCTGAAAGTGTGAGCTGGGGATATTCACAGGAAATACGTCCTTCTTCATGGAAATATCATTTAATAGAAAGCTTAGAGCTTCTCCTAAGCATTTCAATAATGAGTTTGAAGATTTGCAAAGGACATAGGACATATTCTTTCTCTATGCATATATTCAGATATCATCTAACTTTAAAACTTTTAGATGTCAAGCCTTATATCACCTCTAATGGTACTGTTTATTGTGGTGTTCACCTTTCCAGTTTCTATGTATTCCTTCTTAATCAGTTTTTGTCCTTTGATTAGTTCTTCCTCCGTGTTCAGCTTTGGCCTTGCATTCCGACTTTTCAAGGAGCTTCTCAGGGACTTCTGACGCCTGTTATTAGACCTAGAAGTGAGAGAGGTGCGGAGGAAACCTTTCCTTAGTAGGTAGATGCTTTCTGAGGGTCTTCCTGCAAGCAGATGTCACAATCACTGTGCTTGCATCAAACTACATTTCAGAGTAGATGGCCACTGGGGAAAATTAACATCATCTAACCATCTCCTCGAAGAGCTCTGGTAGTGTAGTGCCTAAGGCACTTGACTGCTACCCAGAAGGCTGGCAGTTCAAACCCATCAGCCTCTCCTGGGAAGGAAGGTTGGGCAATCTACTTCCATAGTGGTACCTCCTTGGAAACCCAAGGAGGGGTCTCTATGAGTCAGGTCTGACTTCATGGCACATAACAACAACAACAACCATCTCCTCACTCATAGAATGAAACAAAGGAAGAGCTGGAAATGTACATGGTGTCTGCTCCCTTAAGAAAAACCCATGGGAAAAAAAAGAGAGAAGTGAAAGTATGGAAGCATAAAGGCTGCCAGGTGAATAAAAAACCAACCTGCGGCTGAGTGTTCGACGAAGGCTGTTTTCTCTTTTCATGATCAAGGAGGCCGCATCCTCAGGGATTTCCTCCACACTGGGGATCAGCCCATAGTCATCATCTTCTTCTTCACCGCCATCATTGTCTAGGGAGACACATGAAAGTTTGGGGATATAGCTGCCCAGGGCTTTGAACCAGTTAATTCTGGTTTGGCCCCCTGCTGAGAATTTGCCTTTCCATTCCAGATGTACTCAATCAGAATCTACATTTTAACAAGATCACCTAGGGATCCATAAAAATCACCTGGAGAGTCTGTTAAAATGTTGATTCTGATACAGTATACTTAGAGTGGAAATGCAAATTTCAGGAGGAGATCAAACCAGGATGAACTGGTTCAAAGCCCTGCTCTGAACGAGGAAAGAAAAGTCATGTCTGATCTGGCTGGCCTCAGCGAGAAATCCCAGATGTGCACACAGGCTGCAATTATTTATTCCAAAAATGCTAGTTATTAGTGCATCTTCTTATTGAGAAATCCCAGAAGAGATGAGTTAATATTCCACTAGATGATAAAATGGTCAAAAAGAAGATGAATACTCCCCAAAACTTAAGTCAAAACTCTAAGTTGGAGCAGGAAAGAACTTTGAAAGGTTATAGCAGCATTCCCCTTGTGAATAGGAAACAGACAAGGATGCCCTCTATCTCCACTTCTATTAAACATTGTATTGGAAGTCCTGGCTGGGGCAATAAGGCTAGAAAGGAAAATCAAAGGCATCCAAATTGGTAAGGAAGAAGTAAAACTATCCATATTTGCAGATGATATGACTCTATATATAGAAAACCCAGGAGACTCAGCAAGAAAACTACTGGAACTTATTGAAAGATTTAGCATAGTGGCAGGGTGCAAGATCAGCATATAAAAATCGGTTGGATTCCTCTACACCAGCAAAGAGGTCTCTGAAAATGAAATAAGGAAATCAATATAATAGCTACCAAAAAGATAAGATAAGATAGTTAGTAATAAATCTAGCCAGGAACACAAAAGACCTATACAAAGAAAACTACAAAACACTACTTCAAGAGATTATAAGAAATCTACATAAATGGAAGAACATACCATGCTCATGGATAGGAAGATTGGACATTGTGAAAATGTCAATACTACCAAAAGCAATCTATACATTCAATGCAATCCCAATCCAGACTCCATTAACATTCTTTAAAGACATGGAAAAACCAATCACTAACTTTATATGGAAAGGAAAGAGACCTTGGATAAGCAAAGGACTACTGAGAAGAAGAGCAAGTAGAAGGTCTCACACACCCAGATCTCAAAACCTACTACACAGACATAGTTGTCAAAACAGCCTGGTATTGATGCAATGACAGACACATAGACCAGTGGAACAGAATTGAGAACCAAGAAATTGATCCATCAACCTGTGGTCAGCTGATCTTTGACAAAGGGCTAAAACCCATTCAATGGGAAAGAGATGGTCTCTTATACAAATGGTGCTGGCAACACTGGTTATCCATTTGCAGAAAAATGAAACAAGATCCATGCCTCATACCATGCACAATAACTAACTCCAGATGGATCAAAGACTTAAATGTGAAACCTAAAATTATAAAGTTCATTAAAGAAAAAATAGGGGCAAACTTAGGGGCCCTGATTTATGGCATAAATAGACTATCAAGCATAACCCAATATGCACAAACAGCAGAAGATAAACTACATGATTGGGACCTTCTAATAATTAAATTCTTATGTGCATCCAAAGACTTCTCCAAAAGAGTGAAAAGAGAAACTACAGAATGGAAAAAATATTTGGCAATGACATATTAGACAAAGGACTTATCTCTAAAATTTATAAAAACTCCAACACCTCAACATCAAAAAGACAAACAATCCAACTAAAAAATGGGCAGAAAACATGAACAGACACTTGACCAAAGAAGATATTCAGGCAGCCAACAAACACATGAAGAAATATTTGGGATCCTTAGCCATTAGAGAGAAGCAAATCAAAACAACCATGAGATACCTACCATCTCACCCCAGCATTAATAGCAAAGTTCAATAAGACAGAAAATAACAAATGCTGGCAAGGATGTGGAGAGATTAGGACTCATACACTGCTGGTATGACTGTTAAATGATACAACCATTTGTGGAAATTGTTATGGCAATTCCTTAAAAAGTTGGAACTAGGAATACCATTTGATCCAGCAATTCCATTGTTAGGTGTATATCCTAAAGAAGTGAAAAGCAGGACATAAACAGATATATGCATACCCATGTTCAGTGCAGCACTATTCACAATAGTAAAGAGATGGAAACAATCTAAGTACCCATCAACTGTGGTACATACACACAATGGAATATTATGCAACTCTAAAGAATAATGTAGAATCTGCAAAACACCGTATAACATGGATGAACTTGGAGGATATTATTCTGAGTGAAATAAGTCAATCACAGAAGGACAAATTTTGTATTAGTCCACCATTACAAAAAATAAAGGAAAAGTTTATACGTGGAAGGAAATTTTCTTTGTTGGTTACCAGGGATGGGAGGGGAGGGGAAGGAAAATTCCTAGATAGGCTGAAAACAAACAAATACATATACAGAAACCAAAGATTATTAGTGTTTACCAGGGGTAGGAGAAAGAGGTAAAGGGGAGGCTTTTGTTTGCAGGGCATTGAGTTTATGCTAATGGTAGTGGAATATTTTGGAAAAGGATAATAATAATGGTGGCACAACATGAAAAATGTCATCAGTGTTCCTGAGCTGTAAATGGGGAAGCTGTTATGTTGGTGAATGTTTTGTTGTGTATGTTTTCACCACAATA